AAATTGCATTTTTAGTATAAAATTTCATTTTTAACATAAAATTGCATTTTTAACATAAAATTGCATTTTAAGTATAAAATTGCATTTTTAGTACAAAATTTCATTTTTATTATAAAATTGCATTTTTAATACTAAATTGCGTTTCATTTTACGTAAAAATTTGCTTTTCAAATATAAAATTGCATTTTTATTACAAAATTGCATTTTAAGTATAAAATTGCATTTTTTGTACAAAATTGCATTTTCAGTATAATATTGCTTTGAGTATAGACTGCATTTTTAGTAAAATATTGCATTTTTAGTATAAAATAAATTTTAGTATAAAATAGAATTTTAGGTATAAAATTGCATTTTTAGTATAAAACGCATTTTTAGTAGAAAATTGCAATTTAAGTGTTGCATTTTGAGGATAAAATTTTTTATGAAAAAGTGCTTTTTTTGCATTAAAATTTTTGCATAAAAAGCTTTTTTGCATAAAAAGCTTTTTTGCATAAAAAGCATTACATTTTCAACATAAAAACGCATTTTAGTATACATTTTTAGCAAATCAGTGCATTTTTTGCAAAATACTGCTTTTTTGCATAAAAAATTCATATAAAAGTGCATTTTTAGTAAAAATTTAACTTTTAGCATAAAATTACATTTAATAATAAAATAAAATTTTTGGAATAAAATCGCTTTACTAAACTAAACTTATATTTATGCTAAAAATTTTGCATTTTTTTTAAATTTATGTATAAAATCGCATTTCCATAGAGTAGAACAATTCTAACACAAACGAAGTGATTAAAGAGTAAAATTTTTTTAACATAAAATTTATTTTCAGATTTTAACATAAATTGGTTGGTTTTTTGCCATTTGCCCCCACAATAGCTTAATCATTATTAAATTGCGTTTAATCACTTGTTTTCTTTTTTTTTTCTTAAACAAAATATCTTACATTTCAAATAGTTTAGCAAACATACAAAAACCGATAGATAAATGTGTGGCCAACTTGGCGAGTAAATAGTTAAAGACGTTTTTAATTTTCATCTAGTCTTGACTTTTTTGAATAATGTTTGTGGCCCATTAATAACAAACTGCCTAGACGGGTTTTCTAATTTATGCCTCAAACAATGGAAAGAAGAAAAGAAGACTGAAAGGAAAGAAAATAACAACAACAACAAAAAGAAAAGAAATGTTTAATTTATTTACTTTAATTTTGTTAAACGGTATGTCTAGTCATCACTCATGTTTGAAACTTGAAAACAATTTTGAATACTTGTCTGTAGTAAACATTTGAAAATACAAAGTAAATCTTTTTTTATTGTTAATTTTTTTCAACAACCACATTTTTAATAACATTTCTAAACCTGAACTAAAAATATACATATATACTATAAACCACTAGTTTCTCCAGGTTAGTTTAACCTACAAAATTTTTGAAAAAGAAAAGAAAATTAGGTTTTCGGTGTAATTTTAAATGAGCAATTTGTGATAGACTCGAGAGCTCGTAAGGTTAATTAAAAATTGTAATTTTTTAATTATGATTAATTTGTCTTAAGAAGTTTAAAAATTAAAATTTAATGGTTGGTATAATTTTTAATTTATTTTAACATAACTTCATTAACTATTTATTACAGAATTTTTATAAAATTTAAAAATTATTTGTTTAACAAATTCTACACAAATTTTGTTATTTATAAGCATAATTATTAAAATCTATTTTCAAAATCATATAAATTCAATCTATCATCTCGTCCATTATCTATATGTCAAAGAACTAATAAAAGAAATCCATAAAATTTATACATCAAAAAAATATTTAAATTGTGCTGGTTTCGAAGATATTTTTTTAATTAATTTTGTTTTGCTAACATAGAAAAAAATCCATTTAGTACCACGTGATTAAAATAACACGTATAAACCTGTTCACTTTCATAGAAAATTTAAATAAAACTAATTTGCTACAAATTTAACTTTTATCTTTTGTTAAGATGTTTTTTTATTTTTTTTTTAATAACTTTATTTTAAAATGCATTAAATATTAAAATTATGCAATAATTCTTTTTAATACTAACTGTATTTTGTATGTCATTTCTATATTTAAATATATTTTTTTATTTGTTTTCAAATGATATCAACTGTCTTCTTATCTTATAAAGAAATTGGAACGAAAGTGAGAAATTTATATCAGAAAGTTGTTAAGAAATGTTTGCTATAAACCCTAAAAGAAGCTACTAGTAGATAAACAAAAATTGCCATACAATCTAAAAAGCTTTAAAATCGATATTCCAGCATAAATAATATAAAATTCAGATTTTACCATGAATTAGAAATTTTATTAAGAAATTTTAATTTCTAGCAGTGCTACAAAAATTTCTCTTCAGCAATGTAAAGTTAAAAAAAAAAAAAATTTTTTTTCTTTTTATTTATATTTTTTTAATCATTGTAAACACTTTGTAATCACATTCTAAAATTTATTTTAATGATTCGTATCATATTGTTCTTGATAATTGTCTGACTTATTTTTTGGGTTTGATATAATTGTTATCTTGAGATTGATAATAAATAAAATATTATATTGACTTAATTTGTTTATATACACCGGTAAAATATTTATTTATAGAAATGAGTCATTAAACTCTGAAATACAATTAAAGATAAAGAAAGGTATAGGGTCTATAAACTAAAAGAAATTAACAGCAGATCGATATTAATACAGTTTAGTTAAGTTAAGTTCTAGATTATATATCAGTTCTGAACTAGAATTAAACTATAACTGTACTAGAATTAAACTATAACTGAACTAAAACTGAACTAGAACTGAACTAGAACTGAACTAGAATTGGACTAGAACTGAACTAGAACTGAACTAGAACTGAACTAGAACTGAACTAGAACTGAACTAGAAACTGAACTAGAACTGAACTAGAACTGAACTAGAACTGAACTAGAACTGAACTAGAACTGAACTAGAACTGAACTAGAACTGAACTAGAACTGAACTAGAACTGAACTAGAACTGAACTAGAACTGAACTAGAACTGAACTAGAACTGAACTAGAACTGAACTAGAACAGAACTAGAACTGAACTAGAACTGAACTAGAACAGAACTAGAACTGAACTAGAAATGAACTAGAAATGAACTAGAACTAGAACTGAACTGAACTAGAACTGAACTAGAACTGAACTAGAACTGAACTAGAACTGAACTAGAACTGAACTAGAACTGAACTAGAACTGAACTAGAACTGAACTAGAACTGAACTAGAACTGAACTAGAACTGAACTAGAACTGAACTAGAACTGAACTAGAACTGAACTAGAACTGAACTAGAAACTGAAACTAGAACTGAACTAGAACTGAACTAGAACTGAACTAGACTAACTGAACTAGAACTGAACTAGAACTGAACTAGAACTGAACTAGAACTGAACTAGAACTGAACTAGAACTGAACTAGAACTGAACTAGAACTGAACTAGAACTGAACTAGAACTGAACTAGAACTGAACTAGAACTGAACTAGAACTGAACTAGAACTGAACTAGAACAGATCTAGAACTGTTCAGTTCTACTTTACTTTTAGTTCAGTTCACTTCTACTATAATTCTAGTTCAGTTCTAGTTTCAAAAGCTGTTCTAAATTAATCAGTGTTATCTAACATATTAAAAACCAATCAAGTGACAAGTAGTAGGGGAATTGAAGACTTTGGACTGATTACCACGCTGTTATTAAATAACCTATGAAAAGTATAGCGCTGGAAAGTAGTGACTAATTGCTAATTTAATTATGACAAATATCACTATAGTAAATAAAGAAATAAGAGACTCTCAAAAATATAGGTCAAATATACAGACTTTCTTCCAAAGAATAATTCAAAATAAAGTTTTCACCGTTAAACTCTGGCATCAACGACAAAAAGAAACAATAAATATTAATGATTTCAGAGATTTTTTATTGCAAAGCTTTTGTTTAACAATTTATCTTTTTTTGTACAAAATCAAAAAAAAAGTGCAATTGTAAATAATAAAATATTAAGAGGGGCAAATGACTAATTGCATTAAAAACATGTTAATAAAACGTGTTGAACAAAAAAAGCTAAATGAATAACTGAAATTGTAAAACATTATTAACAAAACAACAAAACATTTTGCGATAAAATAAGTATAATTTTTTAATAACAAAAAAACACAACTCAAGCTCAAATGAAAGTAAAAACTTTGAAACCTCTAAAAAACAAATGATGTCATATTTTGCTAACGAAAATAAAACTGTCAAACAGAAACAAAATACACAAACAGCGAACGAGTAAATATCTACATTCATAAATATTTAAAAAAATGAATTTAAGAAATTCTGTTTGTCAAATTTTTTTTAAATCCAATCATGTTGGGAATGCATGCTTATGGAGACCCAAAATTCTAAGCTTAAGTCAAACTTAACAGAACCACAAGCATAAAAACATTATTATACAAGTTTAGCCTTGAAAAAAATCAGAAAATTTGTTTATCGGTTTAAAAAAAAAATACAAAATTTAACTTAAATATGATTTATAACAAAGGGGTCTGGGCAAGAATTTTAATGTTGTTGTTTTTTTCATTAAGGTTTTTCAGAAATTCTTGAGAATTTTAAAATTTAAACTAAAATTATGCAACAACAAAAAAATTTATCATTCAATAAAGGGGCAAAAAAGCACTCAATGTGAAATTTATATAAAATTTTTTTATCAATGAATTGTGAATATTAATTCTAAAATTAACGGAAATTTTAATGGCGTAATATTTATTTATTAAAAAACCATTAATAAGAAAAACTTCAATGACGTTTCTTTAAAGTTGAAAAATGTGTTTGTATAATGACAAATTGTATGACCTAAATAATAACTTTATTGACAACTCCCTATAATATACAAAAAACACACATTCTGATCACTTCCCCCTTTTTTATTATCAATAATCTATAAATTTCCCTTAAATTTTTAGTTTCTTATATTTTCTACTTATTTCCAAAAAAAATTAAAATTTCATAAAATTCTCTTTCACTTACCAATATTAACAATTTTAATACCCTCATCTTCGAGGAATTTCAATGCTACGGAAACATTTTCCAATTTTTGTGAACGGAATGTTGGTCTTTTATTATATTTGGGCATACGTTTTTGTGACAACACCTCGATTAAAGCGATTAAACGCAAACCATCGGAGAGATCACTCTCTAAACTGTTGATCGAACGATCGATGGTCTTGAGATGTTCATTGGCCCAACGGGTGAATGTGTTCTGTTGGATTTTCTTCCATTGGGCATCTTCGGCGAGATCACGTTCAGCCTCCATGTCTTCGTCAAAGTTTTCGTCGTAGGGATCCTAAGGAATATAGAATGGAAATAGAATGTAAGTAATTTGTTTAACATAATTGCCTTTTCGGATGGCAAGTTTTACTCTTAATCCTTAATTGGCCATAAATAATAAATTGTAATTTATTTTAAATATAGTCAGTTTCCCCGATATTATTCATCTCAAATAACTCATACTACGATATTAATTACTATAGCAATTAATGAGAAACAATTAGTTCTAGTTCATATATAGTTACGAAAATAGTTATACTTATATTAATATTTATAGCAGTATTTATATTTATAGTTATATTAATAGCAACATTCATCTTTTTAGTTCATTCCCCGTTCATTATTAGTTCTTGTTCTGTTTTAGTTTAATTCCAGATCAGTTTTAGTTCAATTCTAGTTTTGATGCTCGTTCAGTTCTAGTTCAGTTCTTAATCAGTTGTAGTTCAGTTCTAGGTCAGTTCTAGTTCAGTTCTAGTTCAGTTCTAGTTCAGTTCTAGTTCAGTTCTAGTTCAGTTCTAGTTCAGTTCTAGTTCAGTTCTAGTTAAGTTCTAGTTCAGTTCTAGTTCAGTTCTAGTTCAGTTCTAGTTCAGTTCTAGTTCAGTTCTAGTTCAGTTCTAGTTCAGTTCTAGTTCAGTTCTAGTTCAGTTCTAGTTCAGTTCTAGTTCAGTTCTAGTTCAGTTCTAGTTCAGTTCTAGTTCAGTTCTAGTTCAGTTCTAGTTCAGTTCTAGTTCAGTTCTAGTTCAGTTCTAGTTCAGTTCTAGTTCAGTTCTAGTTCAGTTCTAGTTCAGTTCTAGTTCAGTTCTAGTTCAGTTCTAGTTCAGTTCTAGTTCAGTTCTAGTTCAGTTCTAGTTCATTTCATTGTGCAAATATTTGATGATCAATTTATATTTTTTTCGAATTGTATTTAAGATTTCCTTTAAAATTGCTATATGTATTTTTTTAAACCAAATTTCCAAAATATTTTTATTCTTCCCCTTTATTTGAACAAGTGTTTCATTACAATAAATATTATTGTTTGTTTCATTAATTTTCATCTCATCCGAAGAAGTATAAATCACATTAAATTCCATTAATAAAAATTAATTTTAATGCAAATATAGAAAAATTAAAGAAATGTCTCGTTATGTTGTTTGGAATCCCACTTACAAGCAGAAACACACACAACTGATGACGTTTGTATCTTGAACTCCGCTTATGCGGATCACGCAAAACGCCCTTATTTCTCTGGATTTTTTGTTGTCTTTCAGTTTATCTTATGGTGTTTTTATGATAAAATTACAAGCAAATAAATAAATACTGAAAATTTTAACAATTAATATGACAGAGGGGGCAGGAGACAGACAGATATAAGAGACCTACATACAGTCTGTCATTCATTCATTTAATCAATCAGTTAGTCTATCATTAATTTACTCATGTATGAATCTATTCAATAGTTAGAAACTTAAAGCAGAGCTGGTAAATTAAAGTTTTAAAGTAGTGAACAAGATTTCTGGATTTAACATTATTAAATTTCCTACTGAGAATAATTTATTTAATTTGCTGAAGGACTTTTTCAAGGAAATTTTTAATAAAAATTGCGTAACTTTTCAACATTTGCTTAATATTTAATTATCCAACTCTGATTTGAAAACCAACTCATACGCATTAAAACGCATAGAGGAAAAAACACAATTGTTGTGTGATTTCATTACATTTGCTTTTCGAGTGACATTGGGTTGACAAAACAACAACAACAACGTCATATGATAGAGTTCAGTTTCTTTTTTTCAATTTCTATCTTTATCAGATTTCTTCTCTTTATTCAATTATTAACATATAAGAAAAACAAACAACTTAAAAAAACATGACAGACTGTGGTTTTTTGGTTAAAAACACAAAAAAAATAAATAAATTGAAATTTAAAATGATCTTCATGTTAAGCTTTATTCTCACTGCTCCACCTCCCCCCTTTTCTTAGAAACAGCTGTTTTTTATCTTCATTATTAAATCTCTTTTATCTATTACAGTAAATTTTCAATGTTTGTTTTTGTCTGTTTGTGGTTGGTGTGTGTGTGTGTGTGTGACTTTTCCTCTGCTAGACAGACAGACTCTGCTGAAAAAAATATTTTAAAGATTTATTGTAGATTTTTTCGTACTTTATGATCCAGAAAATTTTGTGCAAATGATGGAAAAAAGAAACGGAATTTATTTTAATGAAAATTCTGAAATAAGAAATGAACTCTTTGGTGGAATTGCATGAAATTTGAAATTCCCACCAAATGTGATAACAGTTTTTCTTTTTGCTTAAAGGTAATTTGGTGTTTTTTTTTAATTTTTATTTTACAACTTTGTGAAACAAATAAAAACAAAGGAAGGAGGAAGACAAACACACAGTTTAGGGGGAAGGTCAACTAAGGGAAATAGGTTGAAATTGTATAAATTAAAATGGAAAACACCAGGTGTTTTTGGAAAGTTTTTGTACATTGAGATCTTGGTCATAGGCCAACAAAAATATAAATATTTTGAGTCTTTAATAGAATTTATGACAATCTAGACATGTTCATCAGTCTGTCTGTTGAAAACACTTTAGGACCTAAACGGTTGCAGCTACTGTGCTAAATTTTCCATAATATTGGTCTAGACATGTTCGTCCGTCTGTAAGTTGAAAACACATTATGATCTAAACGGTAGGACTATGGGGCAAATATTGGCTATTGATGCAGTTTGTTGGGTATTGAAATTGACCCATATTTGTCCCTTGACTCCATTAAAAATTCACGGTTGAAAAATACCGTTGAACTCCCACGACATTTTAGGTACTTTTTCTAACTTAGGTATAACCTTTTCATAAGTAGTAAATTGACTAGTCTATAGACTGGGGTATAGTCTATTCTATGATCTATACTCTAGTCTATAGTCCAGTCTTTGGTCTAGTCTATAATATAGTATTTAGTCTACTCTGTTGTCTAGTCTAGTCTATATTCTAGTATATAGTCTAGGCTATAGTTTATAATCTAGTCTAAAATCTAGTCTATAGTCTAGTCTGTATTCTACTCTAAAATCTAAAATCTAGTCTATAGTCCAGTCTATACTCTAGTCTTTCAAAATTTAAGTTATTAAAAACTTGAACAAAGAATTATTCATTTAATATTTTATTCGAAAATTAGTCACTCTAACGATTTGTGAAAAGTTTGATCTGTAATTGACTCAATTCCCCATATAAGGGACTCTTACAAAAATGTTTAATATTATGTTAAAAATGTGGGGAAGTTTTCTAGTATAATCCCAAAAATGTTTTTTGTAAAACTAGTTTTTGTTAATTAGGTCGTAAGGGTATATAATGGGGGTAAATATTTTTATAAAAAATTTTTATCAAGACTCTCTTATTGGCATTTGTAATTTATATTTAAAAAAAGTACCACGAGCCACCCTTAACATTTATTTAGTTAAAAGCTAAGGAGGGGTTAAAAAAGGGAGCGACTTTTGGTTAATAATAAATCCAAATAAAGAAGATCATTTTTCATGGAATTTAAAAGCGACATTTAGCGATATGTTGCTGTCAAATTATTAGAAGGACTCTAATGAGTTTTCCCTTAATTTTTCATAGAAAATATTTTAGTTTTATAGAGAATTAATTATTAGATTTCCATCAAATATCCAGAATAAGATTACACTTAAATAAATGCATTATTATTAAAAAGAGTTTTTACAAATAGTTTTGAGAATGATTTCGTGGAGTTATTTAAAAAAAAATTCTATTTTCATTAAAAAGAGTTGATAATTCAACGTCAATTTATTTTTATTAAATCACAGGTCTGATTATGACTAATTTTATATTCATAGGAATCATGTTGAAATAACGCGTTATTCATCGAGGTTGGGTGTTTAAACATTCGATCAGTATTCGATGACGTACAAAATAATTCAATATAATTTCACTTTACCAAAATTCGTATTGGATACCATAGTGCATTTGTGATTCTCGATGTCCAGAATACATACATAGAACTCTTCTTGAATCATTAATCGTTTCCACTACTTTTCAGATAATAATAGTCAAAAGTCCATAATGTTGTATGTAGTCCAGTCTATAGTCTAGTCTATAGTCCAGTCTATAGTCTAGTCTATAGTCTAGTCTATAGTCTAGTCTATAGTCTAGTCTATAGTCTAGTCTATAGTCTAGTCTATAGTCTAGTCTATAGTCTAGTCTATAGTCTAGTCTATAGTCTAGTCTATAGTCTAGTCTATAGTCTAGTCTATAGTCTAGTCTATAGTCTAGTCTATAGTCTAGTCTATAGTCTAGTCTATAGTCTAGTCTATAGTCTAGTCTATAGTCTAGTCTATAGTCTAGTCTATAGTCTAGTCTATAGTCTAGTCTATAGTCTAGTCTATAGTCTATTCTATAGTCTAGTCTATAGTCTAGTCTATAGTCTAGTCTATAGTCTAGTCTATAGTCTAGTCTATAGTCTAGTCTATAGTCTAGTCTATAGTCTAGTCTATAGTCTAGTCTATAGTCTAGTCTATAGTCTAGTCTATAGTCTAGTCTATAGTCTAGTCTATAGTCTAGTCTATAGTCTAGTCTATAGTCTAGTCTATAGTCTAGTCTATAGTCTAGTCTATAGTCTAGTCTATAGTCTAGTCTATAGTCTAGTCTATAGTCTAGTCTACAGTCTAGTCTATAGTCTAGTCTATAGTCTAGTCTATAGTCTAGTCTGTAGTCTAGTCTGTAGTCTAGTCAATAGTCTAGTCAATAGTCTAGTCTATAGTCTAGTCTATAGTCTAGTCTATAGTCTAGTCTATAGTCTAGTCTAGTCTATAGTCTAGTCTATAGTCTAGTCTATAGTCTAGTCTATAGTCTAGTCTATAGTCTAGTCTATAGTCTAGTCTATAGTCTAGTCTATAGTCTAGTCTATAGTCTAGTCTATAGTCTAGTCTATAGTCTAGTCTATAGTCTAGTCTATAGTCTAGTCTATAGTCTAGTCTATAGTCTAGTCTATAGTCTATAGTCTAGTCTATAGTCTAGTCTATAGTCTATAGTCTAGTCTATAGTCTAGTCTATAGACTAGTCTATAGTCTAGTCTATAGTCTAGTCTATAGTATACTCTAGTCTATAGTATACTCTAGTCTATAGTCTTGTCTATAGTTTATGGTCTAGTCTATAATCTAGTCTAATGTCTAATCTATAGTCTAGTATATAGCCTAGTCTATAGTCTAGTCTAGCCTACAGCCATGTCTATTGCGTAGTCTATAATCTATAACCAGTCTATAATCTATTCCATAGTCTAATATATAGTGTAGTCTATAGCCTAGTCAATAGTCTAGTCTATAGCCTAGTCTATAGTCTGGTCTATAGCCTAGCCTATAGCCAAGTCTATAGTCTAGTCTATAGGCTAGTCTATAGTCTAGAGTACATCTGTAACGAAAGACGAATTAGAACCAACCAGGCGGTTAGACGTTAGTGGAAATTATTGTCTTTTTCTGATGCATTAACTCTTTGTCGAACTTCTGGGTAAAACTATTTCTCCCCTTTTTCCCTAAAATTCTCTTTTAGCTATACTTCCCTTACTAAATTTCTTTTGTTATTTTTTCCTGTCAACTCTCGCGAGAATTACACTTTTGGCAAATAATAAAAACAGAAATAAAAAGATTAGAACTTGAACTCTGTTTACTTAACATTACATGTTAAACACCTTTACATATGTATGAAAGCATGTGTAAGTAAAATTTGCAAAACCAACAACATGATCCAACAAAAAGAAAGTCACAGAGAAAAGGGAATGCTAAAAAAATACAGAAAGAGACACACAAACAATTGGGGAAAAAATGTCGGCTAGTAAAATGTTGTTTGTGTGGTAAACGTGTGTGTGCAATTTATAGTTTAGTGTTTTTTTTATTTGCAGACGTGCGAGTTTTTCTGTTAAAAAATAAACTTTAAAGTAGAAGTTCATTAACATTTTTGTTAAAGTGAAATAAAAATAAGATTTTTTTGGAACAGATTTTTAAAAAATATAAAAAATATAAAAAAATTAAGAAAATGTGAAAAAAAGAAATTTAGTTTAAGTGGTTACAAAACACACACCTGCGGATTAAAAGTATAAACGTAGTTGTCGTTTAAAGTGTTGTTGTCGTTGGTGTAATAAATTTGTTCAACAGGATATTGTTGCTGTTGTTGTTGCTGTGGCTGCTGAGATAAGGCGTATGATGTCACAGGTAAATTTAATGTTGTAGTTTTTATGACACTTGAAGGATTTGTATTGTTGTTATTGGTATTTATGTTATTAAAATCACTTGTTTTCACTTGCGTTTGAAAGGGATTTGTGTAATTTTGTATTTGTTGTTGTTGTTGTTGTTGACCAGCAACAATTGCACAATTATTATTTGTTAAATTAGTATTTGTATTGCAATTAATGAAATTTTGATTAATTGGCAAATTATTACGATTATTAAAATAGGTTTGTTGTTGTTGTGGCACTGTTGCAACACTGTTTTGTTGTCGTTGTTGTGTCGTATTCAAATTAATTTGTTCAAATTTATCGTTTAATTGATTTGATGACGTTAAATATTCGGGCGTTTTTAAAATAATTTTTTGATTTTTATTACTACTATTATTATTGTTGTTGTTACTGTTGTGTGTACGATTTTCAAAATTATAATTAGTCGCTTGACTATCAACCGTCTGCGCACGCGATCCACCTTCAACTGAATGCGTTTGTCCAACGATCGGGGAATTTACTGGTTTTACTTTGCTGCTACTGCCAGCCGTGGAAGAAATATTAACAGCTCCACCACAGCCAACAATATTAGTAGAGTGGTGGTGTTGTTGTTGTTGCCGCTGAGCTGCTCCCATAAAACCAACACTAGCACCACCAATACTATTACTATTATTTGTTGTAGAGTTGATAAACGATGGCTGATAGAGTTGTTGTTGTTGTAGATTATTTGAATTTGCATTAATTCTATTTCCACCACTCATTGTTGCTATTGTATTCACTGCTGCTGCTGTTGTTGTTGTTCCTGCTGTCGTATTAATGTCACCAACACCATAACGACCGGCTTTCTTGTCATTAGCATTACTCATGTTGTTGTTGCTGTTATTTTTATTAATAATATTGCTCTGTAAAGAGCTGTTTGCTCCCAAATTATGTGAACCAAACATAATGGCTCTCTTTTAATCTTAAACTCTTTCGTTGAAAAAACACAAGATCTCTCTATTTCGTTCTTTTGTTTTTGTAAGAAAAAAAAATTACTTTGTTTTGTTTTTGTTTGGTTTGTTTACTCTTGCTTTTAAATAGCTGTTTTTTCTCTCTATGTATGTTTAGCTTTCTCTGTTTACACTGTAAATAATTTTATATGTTTCGTTATACAGGGATGGTAGTGTTAACATTATAAGAAAAATTTAGTAATTAAATAATGACTTTAAATGAAGTCGTTATTAATTACAAATTTAAACGGTTGATTAAACAACATTATTTAGCTTTTAACAAATTGTCTATAGAATTATTAATTTTTTGTCATCCCTTATCATAAACTTAAGGAAATACATACATACTACATATGTATATTTTGTCTTATTGTTATAGCTTGTTTATTTTCTCTTATTAATTATATTTTTTTAATTTATCGTTTTTTTTTTTCTTCTGATAAGCAATTTCTTATTAAAAGATTGTTTTCAAATATTTGGTCATCTAAAGATAAAATGTTTTTTTTTTCGGTTATTTGCATTGGCTTAGTCATTTCATAAACGCTTGAATACATAATATGCTGTTTTCTACCTGTCTTATATTTATTTTTTATTAAAAAAACATATTTCTTATTAGCTAAATTGTTTTTTAATTAAGACAAATATCTCTACATTAGTACTATAAATAAAACCAACAATTCTTAAAGCAAAAAAAAATTCCATTAAAAGAAATTAAAGTAAACATTTTATACATAATTATTTGATCCATATTTTTATTGCCAATAAATTTATATCTTAACTAGGGCATCTAATTTTGCGAACTTTTTTCATTCCTGGGAATAATTAAAACAAATTCCCCAGAAACTAACTGAATATTTAATAAAACTAGTAAATAGTCATAATAAAGTAATATTTTTTAAGTTATGGCCCTTTAGTTACAAATATTTTAAAATATTTGTTTAACGTTTTTTAATATAAAATTGGAATCGGAGATGATGTTCATAATCACAGCGATCGTTATAACAAGGGAAACCAAAATATGCAAATGCATGTTTCAGACCAATTTAAGAAATTTGGCATTGATTTATTTGCGCATATTTTTGCATATTTTACCCATAAAAGCATAATTTTGCATGGTTTGACTTTAGTAGCTTATTTAAGGTATATTTTCGAGTTTTTAAAGCATATTTTACTCTTTTAGTGAATATTTTGAAGGTTAGTGCATATTTGTTCATTTTTGTAAAATTAAATAAGAAATCGTTAAAGGAAATTCACAATAGTTGAACACTAAAGCTATATATACACGATTGTCAGATCTTACAACGTTGGCAGATCTGGCAAAAATTGTTCGTTCAGACCAAAGAATAAACAAGAAGTGAAACGCTGTCATTTTTTTACAACAATAACATTACGCTCTTCTCACAGACGAGTGGTGTGTAAATCCAACACATATGTAAAAATTTATTCTCTCTCCAAACTTCAAAACTTTTTCGCGAAAATTTGAGGATAATAGCACTTTGAAATATTTTTTATCACTTAACATTATATTTTATAATTTTTTTGCACAATTTAAACACATTTAATAGCCCGAAAATAATATATTTTTTACAAACGAAAAAAAATATTTTTTATTTTTGGACATTGAATTTTTGTTGGTTGAAATTAAAACTAAAAAAACAATGTTGTAAATTTTCGTATGGTAAACGAAAAAGATATTTCAAATAAATAATTTATTTTTTCAATATTATAGATTAAAAAACAAATAGACGTGTTTATAAAATGTTTGTAGATAAAATATGTGGAAAATATCTTAAGAAACCTTTCAAAGTATAAATTGAAATGTAATATTTTTTTTTTCAATATTTTTCAATACGATTTTTTGCAACTATGTTGACTTGAGAATTCTACTAATACATTCTTAGAGTTAGGTACCGGATGACAGTAGACTTAGGTACTTTTGACAACAGTTTCATTTCTTATTTATTCTTTGGTTCAGACGCTTGTAGGAAAACCATAAATTTCATTTCCAACTGCCAACAAAAATTGTCAGTTTACAATGTTGTCAGTTTGTTGTATGGCAAAAGTTGCCATATCTTATTTTAGCTGAATATGTTGCCATGTTGCCAATAGAAAACATTTATCTGGCAATAGTTCCATTGCCAGATCCATAAAATTCGAACATCTGACAATAAAAATTGTCAGACAATTATTTGGCAATGACAACGTAATATATTTACACGATTGTTAGATGTCTGGCAATATTATTGTCAACGTTGCAGACAAAAATTTTAAGTTCACACGGTTGTCAGACATTTTCTGAACATTTTTCTGTCAACGTTGTTGGATCTGAGAAACGCGTATACATAGCTAAGCATAATTTCGTAAGTGAAGTGCTGTTGGAAATTTACTTCGGTGGTATTTCTAAATCCAGGAGTTTATGTGAAAAACCAATTTGAGTTAATATCTTTGTTTGATAAATTTTTTCTTTCATTAACACCAAATCTCACGAAAAACACTCAAAAATAATAAGAAACTCCGTGATTTTCTTACAAAAACAGGGTCGGTGACAAAATCCTATTGAATCTGTGTTCAAAATTTTACATTGCAAATTAAGTTTTACAGTAATATTAGTGTTTGAAAGATTTTCCACTTTTTAAAAATTTTTCATCCCAATGAGGTTCTTGAAAATAATACACAGAGGGAAAATAGACGTTTTAAAATTATACACGCCTGGTACCAAATTGATACAAAAGTGGTTATAATTTTTCAATAACAAAAAGTTGTGATGAATTTCGATCAAGAAATGGTTCATTATTTTCATGCAAAATACTACACACTCTCTTTCCATTTTAGAGAAATAATTTAAAAAAATATGATAAATTGTATGAAAAACCGTAGAAATTTAATATTAAATAATACAAAGCGTAATCGAAATGACAACAATGTATTGTTACAATGACAACGATGCATAGTCAAAATGATAACTGGGTTTTATTTAAATTTTATACACATCCGTTGTCTAAATGTTAACAAACGTGGTAAGCTCCCTTTTGACAAAAGATTGTATCAATTTTGGTACTTTTCTATCGGTTTTTTCCCTCTATGTCCATATTTCATACGAAAAGGTTTGATTCAATAATATTCTTGAAATTATTTGTTGACAATAAAATTTTAAATCGTTTGTTATGCTCACCCATTTCATATTAATTTATTTCAAAAAAATCTAGCCTATTGGCCATAATCGTTTACAAATTTCTACTTAAAAATTAAGTTTGTCTATTTAAATACGATGAATTATTGATTAAAAATGTAATACTAATTTCCTATTAAATATGTAGTTTATTATTTTTGCTAAGTGTAATGCAGTAAAACTCTTCAAATTTCAATAGCGATGATGAATTAATTTTCATTATAATAATTTTATCTTAAAAAAGACACAATTTTGTCAACGTTATTTATAATTCTCATAAAAATTACTCAGAATTTTTTAAATTAATACTTACTACTTTTAAAGAATTTATGAAATTTATTTTATTTGAAATTTAATAATTTTACTGGAAAAATTATTGTTTGGCTTTTCATTTATTTATTGACTAGTCTTTTGGGAAGTTTAACCTACGGACTTCCGTTTTGACTAGCCCATTGTCTTGTCTATGAATTAGAAAATGTAATAGAATATGAAGTTGTCTATTGACAAGTCTATGGCCTAGCCGAAAACTGGTATATTGAATAATCTTTCGACTTGTCTACTATATAGTATATGGACTTTTGGTCTATAACACTTTGTAGACTGATCTAGTGAATAGGCTAATAGATAGTCAAAAGATAAGTCTGCATACTAGTCTATATACTAGTCAATATACATATGTAGGTCTCAATGCCATAGTAAATTGATAAGTCTATGGAATATTCTACTGATACGCTAACATACACGGGCTACTTAGAAACATTTTTTGCTAAAGATACGTTCATACCTATCAAATATGTACTTGACATAACCACAAAACAATGTTGAAATGAATAATAAAGATGTTCTAAAGTGATATCTTCAAAGACAAATAACGTTTCTGTAAATTAATAAATATTTAAAGGTAATCAAAATATCGATTTTAATTTTGTCAAAGATTTGTGGTTTGTTTTCGTTGTCAACGATTGTATTTTAGTACTAAACTTCTCCATGCCCGGTAAAAATAGTACCAAACTAAGTACTTGTGTACTAAAGTTCACATCTCTGTTTGTTAATAACATTAAAAGAGAATTTTGAACTCTCTGTTAAATATTCTCTTCTTTTTCTTTTTTCTATACTCTTTTATTTTTACACTTTGATTTTTGAGAGCTTTTCTCTTATCATCCATGTCTTTTATATTAATTTATTCATGCATACTTTGTTGTTTTATTACATTTTACCTGTTTGTTTTCATTTTTACATTTGGTCTTTGACGTACTATTTGTTTTTGTTTCTATAACGTGATCATCAACATCACTTTGACACTAATTTTGTTGAAAAATTTTCTTTGAATAGTTTTTTTTTTTTTTTGAGAATATTCTTTTGTGATCTTGCAACAGTGATGGGCTTAAATTAGTACCTTTTAGAAATGTGGGAGGAAGTTGATTATGAAAAATACAAAAAAAATGTCATAAACTTAGTCGAAACTTATTTAATTAAATTGTTATTATGAAAATAAAAACCAATTAAAAATTGTAACTCTTACAAAAATATTATAAAGTACCAAATTGTACCAAAAATACACAAATTTTATGAAATTGTACCAAATCTGTCTGCATACTAGAAGTCACCAAAGCTACAAGTCAGATGGACAGACAGACATTCTTTTCAATAAGAAATTCTTCTTAAATTTTATGCTTGTGTGTGTGTGTATGCGTAACAAATTATGACGATATTATTTTATCTATTCTATTTTGTTTTTCCCTTTCGTAACAGGTTTTTTAATGCTCTTTTAATGGTTATAAGTTTTGTTCTTACATTCTTAGCGGAAAAAACCAGAAAGTCAGTCAATAAGTCGCAACGCCACATAACTTCTTTTTTTTTTGCCAGTGATGGAAAATATTGAATTTTCAATGCATAAAGTACTCAGTACTAGTGTTGCTATTTTAAAGAAATTTGTGATAAGTACTGCTTTGGATTTTAAAA